TTGTGGTTCGGCAAGTAGTGGGGGGGGGGGGGGGTATGGAAACAATCGGTAACTTTTTTTGGGAAGCTTGGAACAATTTCTGTCAAGGTAGGTACGATCCCCCTCTTCAACCAGATTGGCGGGATTCTCACAAAGTTGCTGTACCCCGTACCCTGTCTGGGAACAATTCGCTTCACAACGTTCGTAGTCCTTTCAGATCGTCTTTCTCCCGGTTCATCGCATCGCTTCCGAGTGTCAGCTGAGAATGCCATCGGACGAGGAACTTCAATTGAGTCGAAAAAAGTGACATTATCTGCAGGTTCATTGACGTTATTTGCTCCAGAGACAACCCGAAAAGTCCCCCTCAAAGCGACTTGTTCCAGAGACAGCACTTTGCATGGAAAAGCCCACAGCGATCTCATCAGCTGGCTCGATAATTGCGATGTGGAAACGGTTGCCGGACGATGACGTCAACTACATCGTTGAAATTAAGGAGGTTTTGCTCTTTAAGACCACTTGTGATGATTGAAGCGGGCGGGGAAACCCGAAGAATCGACAAACAGGAATCGGGTAATACCTATCGGAATGAAGAGCGTATTAATTGTGGGCGTATTCTTTCGATTTACGGTGGTAATAAGAGGCATTCCTTGAGATCTCGGGAATAATTGAACAATCTATATGATGAGCGGGTTGCGTGAGTATGAGCGGACGGCGCTGTGGGGATTGCCCACTGAAATCCAAATTGATTGGCTAAAAATAGCACAAAGCGCTCTATGGCCTACCGATCGCTCTTGTTCTAAAATCACGCCCTCCCGAGCAGGTAGCTTGGGTGAAAACGTAAGAGAGTCTCCCTAACTTTCCATTTTGAGCCTCATACTCTTGGTATTCTTTCGTAGAGAAAGGATCTTTTCCGTGAAAATCCTCCAAAGTTTCCAGTCTCTCTAGATCATGGATTCTAAAGTGCTGTTCGCCTTGAAGGGGCATTTTGCACTTTCGCTGGACCCTTTTATTGGTTCATGTCGACTAAGGGTCTCCCTTTTGTGAGACCTGTGAAACCCTGCAAACCTGCGAAATGGTGCGAGTGAGCTACTTTGGTTGCAGGAATTCACAGGTCTTCACAAGCGATGGTGGCCTGTACAAACTTAGTTTCGTACCTTTCGCCCCCACAAGCCGAACAGCGCCGAAATCTGTCGAATGTTAG